TCCACTTCAACATCTTCTCGTTCGCTTGGGCGATCTGTATAATCAGCGTCTCAGATACAGTCTGGTTTCTATATCAGTCATTTTAGCCTCCTTGAAATGTCAATCATAATCCAAAAATTATTATTACAGGTAACCTTTGTATTGTTACTTGTTTTTTACTTAATAGGCCAAATTATAGGGCTACCCCCTCCCTCAGAGCTTACATTCGGCGCGCCCAAGATTCTGAGGTGAAGGTAGTCTCTCTTTTGAAATGTCGGTTATAATCCAAATATTTTTGTAGGTGATTTTTGTAGTGTCATTTATTTTTGAAATAGGCCAAATTAATTATGGGGCTACCCTCTCCCTCAGAGCTTACAGGCGGCGCGCCCAAGACTCTGAGGTGATGGTAGTCTCTCTTTTAAAATGTCGGTCATTTATCCAGATTATTATTTTAGGTAATTTTTGTAGTGTCATTTATTTTTGAAATAGGCCAAATTAATTACGGGGCTACCCTCTCCCTCAGAGCTTACAGGCGGCGCGCCCAAGTTTCTGAAGTGATGGTAGTCTCCCTTTTGAATTTATAATTGTAGGTTATTTTTGTAGTGTCATTTTTTTTTGAAATAGGCCAAATTATGGGGCTTCCCTCTCCCTCAGAGCTTACAGGCGGCGCGCCCAAGATTCTGAGGTGAAGGTTGTCTCTCTTTTAAACTGTCAGTCGTCAACCACAGTATTATTGAATTTTCATTTTCCAGAGTTCATAGTGGTTCCTTCTTTATAGTTTTACGTGATTTGTGGCAAAGACAAGACCAGGCTAACAAATTTATTCTAGTTTTTGCGTGGTGCGACAATCACCGTGGCTGACTGGCCTCCAAAGTTCCTTTATAATTTGGACGCTTCTCAGGAGTTTCTTCACTGCTTGTAATCCAGAATTGGCGATTCTCAGCAGTTTGAAGCTCTTGCATTGCATCAGTTGTTCCTTGGACGGCGACCTTTTCTTGTCCCTAGTACAATATCGATTCTCGATTCTCGACTCTCGATTACCGTATCTTGCTCGTGCAAGGTTTCGGCAACGGGACCAGTACTAACACCATTGCAGGAAAACTGTTTGGTAGAAGAAGAGTAAAATGGTGGCTTCGGCGCGTTACCTGTCTGATGCTCGGTATATCACTGCCAAACTGCGCAACAGAATGCGCGAAAAACCCCTCCGGTACTTGAAAAAAAGAAAAAAAACCTGAGCGATATAATTTAGTAACTTATTCATGGTGTTCAGCTTCCGCTTTATTCAGCTTATTGCCAGTTGTAGGCAAAGTCCACGCGCACATTATCGCACTCTAACTGGGTTGATTGTGAGGAAACTCTTATGTCAGTCATTGACTAAACCCCCGCGTTAAGCCTTTGTGCGACGGACGTCCCTTAGAAATATAAATTACTCACACTGATCGCCAATTCTACTTGCAAAGTGTTGCGGATTGAGTTGTGTAATGTCTTCTAGAGTGTAAATTTAGTTCTAACCTCGCAGAGAAGGATGCAATGAGACATTTATTTGCGTAGTTAGGCCTACTATCCATTGGGCAAGCATCCCTTTTATTTTCTTTCGATAGCCTGTCCATGTACTAACCTTTGGATACAGAAACTAGCTGCCTCTCGCTGTACCAAAACTTGACGGGTGCTCACAAAACACCGGGACTGCATCGTGCGCCTTTGGCGCTTTGGTACCCTGCAAGCTTTGGTTCATCGCGTTTTGAAAGATGGAAATTTTGATATTCCCGCGTAAAAGAAGACCGATAAAACGTGTCTTTCATTGACTACAGTGAAACGCCCGGAAATGAGGAATGTTTTGAAAGAAACGGGAAAACCGATAAAGTAAATATTTTTTGTTATAAGTGAAATTAATGAGAAATAACCATAAACTAGTTTTGTTGTTTTGTTTTTTAAAAGCGGTTTGTCTGGTACCAGATTTGTACAATTACTTTCAATCAAACATGGATCGGGTTTTGTTAACTATGACAGAATGTAATTAAAAAGCATTATGTTGACAGCTACAAGGCACATGCTTGCCTTAAGCTGCGAGTATCCCCCCATGTTTTAAACAAAGGGCCTCTAACAAAGCTGGCATTCTAATCCGCCACAAATATGTGAAGCACGCGTCTTTCAAAGTCGCCTAGTACTTAAAATCGGGGCTCTGGCCTGTTATAGTATTTGTTCGAAACTAAAAGGTTTTTTAAGGACTGCCCAGGGCGACGCAGTTCGCGGTGCAAGGTGATAAAGATAATATGCGTGATGAAGCTTTTTAATGAATGAACATCCTTAATACAGCCTATCCGAAACGCGGGGGCTCAGTACTAAAAAATATTAGTGAATAACATATTGGTTCTCATCATTGAACGTTGAAACTTTTTTTTCGATTCAAGCGTGCAGTTAAGATTAGCACTTTTCATATTTGCTAGCATATTTCGTAACCTTTCTATAATTCTACTATTAACAAAATTGCATCACGGCGCATTGCCTGTATTGCTTTTTTGAGCGCTCCTTTTTTGTACGTTTATGTCCTGCGTTTCTTGTTATCGAGAAGAGAATTTTGCAGAATTGGAGTTTTCTAATTCGTCGATCCCTTCTCGCAATACTCATCGACGATGGCGCCTGTCCCCGATTGCAATGGAAGAAAGGTTTGTCGACATTTAATTGGGCACAAAGTAAGGCCTAATAGCGAACATACCTTTTGGTGTAGAAAATTACAGGAAGAAAGAAGGGTAAAGAGGATGTTGTCGTTTTGTAAGATCAGTATGATTCCCGTGCTAAATCATTCCTAACATATCGGTTATATTTTTCCTGCCTACTGTGTAGAAAACTGAAAGCTAACCAGACCTATTTCCAGACTAATAAAATACCATCTTATTATGCTATGATTTAATATTAAGTTTCGAACCAAATCATTAGGCAAGAGGGAAAAAAACGATGATGTTCGTTCGATTGGTTCGTAAAATGTAACCAAAATGGCGTGCCATACCCATTTATTCACAGAAAGACGACAAAGGACGCACACACCAAATAACGTTATCCTTGTATAACAAAAAGAAACAGATAAAACTGGAAAAAATTAACTTACCGATAGAAATGCAAAGCAGAAAGGCGAGACCGAACAGGATCTTCATGTTATAAGCGACAGTACAACTTTCCACTACTGTTAAAAGGACACCTCAGTTGGACGATGAATATTATAGACTGTGCGTTTCTCAATACGCGTTTTACCAAACTACAGAGGATATCGCTCTCTACCCCACCTAAGTACCTGTCAATCTATCGATTCTAAGTCTATACTAACCAATAGAAACTCAGGGTTTTTCAAACTGTCGCTTATACTTGCTAAACAATTGCCAATCACAATTACTTCCGAGCGTCAGCGAGACAACCCACTAGTCTACGTGGCATGTATAGCTGAGAAATCCAAACGTTTTTCGAATTTAAGACAGTAAGCATGCGCAGTTGGTTAGCAGACCATCATCCGAGATATGCAATGTTCTACGTCCCTGGAAATGCACATGGA